TCTACTCAGGCATGATACCCTGTACTTGGTCAATGGGATTGTATCCTCTTACGGTTTTAGTGAACCTATCTTAGCTTGGAGCGTTGTCCACCTGTTTTTTAGCAGTCCCATCCCCCTTATCTGGACCCCGGGTGGTCATTTGCCCCAGGGTAGTCATTTGCCTATGATTGTCTGAATTCATTTATTTAGATTGCAAGGCACGCCTCAACTTATGCCTGGAACGCTCCTTCACCCATGTCCGTTAGCGCCTTAAAAACATTAAGAATGGTTTGTATGGGTACTTTTAGGTCCACGATACATGCTAAACACAGATTGCTGTGTATACCTTCAGCCACCACTGAAGTCGTCGTGACCAGTTCAAAGGACAATTTTGCCATTGCCTTAACGCCAGACAGGTCTATAGAGGGTTTTATGCATCGCACTATGCTGCGCCACGCCCACCCCGGGCCTGAGTTGACCCTTGTTGGCCAGTCACCAGAAGTACAGGGAAGCCTCTAAATCCAGCTCCACTTGGATTTCAAGACTCCGATCTACTAGGGCTTGAGGAGAGCACCTGCGCTTAGGCTGGGAGGCTCCCATCCGACAGGCTTTGGGTGTCCCCCTGCTAGGACATTGGGGCATACCTTTACCAAGGCCAGGGGCGGCACTCTCCTCGAATTCTTCGGACTTCTTCTGACACAAGGAGGCCAATACTCTCACATGCTGAGGGGCTCTAAACTCCCCCACTAGAGTGCGCGCAATGCGCGCGCAGGCAGCACTGCTGCTGTCATTTCGGCAGCCCCTGTGCCTCATACTCTGCAGGATGTGTGCGTGATCGAGACATGCAGTCTTGGTTTCCACGATAGCTGCGTTGTTGGACAACTGGTATCCCTCGAAATGACATTATATGCAACAGCTCCATGAATATTAGTTATATGCACCGAACAGCATTAAGATTGGTCGCTAAAAAGTCAGCTGCCTATCCCTTTTTGTGGTGCTGATGCATTCGATGCTGCGACAGCGTTTACAATCTTGCAGCAACGGAATAGTTTAGTACTGAGTAAAAATACCTCAAAACAGTGACACTGCCTCCAGTTCCTATTCTGCTGTCGAAACCGGTAAAACATCTGTCATGCAAAAACATGGCCGGCTGAGAAACATCAAATGATACAGAACATAATCGTCTGTAACACTTGAATGTTTCGCATCCATTTTACTTTTAGCCTTTCGCCATTTCGCCCGCCCCCAATATTTCGCTAAGTAAAAGCCGAGCAGAAATAATCTCCCGCATATGTTGGATGCCTCACGTCTCGGAGAGTACGCTACCGCTGTTTCGGTCACTCGATGACCTCTAACAGTAGGTCTTAATTTGGCATTGCTGGAGACGTTTGTGCAAGAATCAAGAAATTTGAGTCAGGACAAATTTATTGATGCAGAAAGGATATAAACCTTGGTCTTTAGCCAAGACTTCTGGGAATACAATAATTCACACAACGGGTGTGAATTATGCAGGGCACCAATACATGGCGCCATCCCTGCCAAACTTCGGACTGAGTGCGAACTAACAAGCACGAGCCACTGCCTGCGCCGCTCGAATTGAACGCAGAGTCCCACAATATCTACTTCCACAGGAGTTACCACTTTTTCAGCAACCCTGGAATAAACTAGCATTGCACAAACTTCTCCGCCGCCAGCGTTCTAAGAACAGCTCCTGCGCACACGGCACAATCGCAGCGGCAATGAACGCCAACTGTTCCATCACAAACGAGCCGAGGGACCGAAGATACCAACTGCCTGCCGTCAGTCCTACAAAGCAAAATTCCGAAAACATACGTCAAGGAGAAAACGCATCTAAACGGGTCACAATGCTCTTAATTTGGCGTACATCGCCTGCATATCGCCAACATAACGCCAGAGCTAACGGCGGCGGGTGGGGGTCGCCGGAACATGCACGCTACGGACTATGCTGTTCACAGTCGTTGCCAGTCAGTCTGATCAGCTGCTCAGACGGCCTGTTCTAATCACGCGCTCCCGTGGCGGCAGCACATCCTTCAGCGGGCGGCGGAGAGCCACATGGTTTACGTCCCAGTGTTCACGCGGCGCGGGCCACTCAGGCGCGCCAACAACGCTGGTGCCGCCTGGTGCGAGCCGGGACCGACCGACGGGCGGTCGCCTGATGACGATGCGCCTAGAGCGGCGACGACAAAGCCTCGAGACTGGCTGCGGACGAAACCCGCCACTGACGGCTCGCTGCACGCAAACCGAATAAACGGACAGCAGAGGCGATTTCAGCCTGCAGGCTGTCGATCAGCGGCTCTGCTGATAAAGGTGGCGCTTAGCAGGTGTTTTTCGATCGCCACCGATTATGGTGGCCGGCCCCCTCGTGACGCGGCGGTGTAGACGGAGGACACAGACCCAATCGGCCGGCTTCACGTGCAGACGAGCACAGACGGAAAGCTTTAGCGTGCAACGCGCAAAAACACGGTCAGGAAAGACGAACAATGAAACAGAAAGAAGGTGAACAGGCCGTGGACGAGGCCGTGGACGAGGAGGAAGGTTTCAACGGGACGCACGGGACCGAGTTCCCTGAACTGGGCAGAAATGAACGCTGTGCCTGCGGGCTCTGAGTGGGAGGCAAATAATTAAGACATCTATGCTCATTCTCTGAACTCTTGGCCTACCGCTGTTCTTGTGGGTGTACCTGTGAGCATTGCAAGTGGCGCGAGATGCAACACGAATGCTCCGAGATGACGTCGGCACACCAGATGGGACTGGATACACTGATGTGATGATGCACATATCCACTTAACAGCACGTCACATCATTACCCCCTTCCCCTCCCTCCCCCCTTTCGATACGACAATTGAGCATGATCTTACGTAACGTCTTATCAAGGAGAAGAAACATGTCAATTAGAGAGCATATTCAGCATGCCAACACGATCAATTACGGGACTGCCATTTTCGTTCGGTGCTGACAACATAGCGATTACATGAAAGGGGTGAGTGCAAATACACGGGGTAATTCTAGCCAATCGGGATGAACTGATTGTTTGGACTATCGCTCTCGCCTGGTATGATGTGACACGGGGATGCAAATAACCAAGGGGCGGGCATTTGCCGTGGGATACATATGTTTAGCACGCCCACAAAATTTCGCCCAATAATTTTCCGGTCGTCGTCAGGGCCCCTTCCCCATTACCAAACGCCGTCCTCAGTCCAGCTCCCCATTGCTTACGACCCGGGCTCCGCCCACTGAGCGGCGTCATAGATACACGCCAATGGGGAACGCCTCTATTCCAAATATGGGCACAGGCAGAACCACCTGATCCAACCTCATGTCTCGATGGGATTGGATCAGCATGTATTTTAACCTAGTGCGTTTGCTTACATTTCATGTAAGCATACGCGCTTATTGCTCTTCCCGGCCGAGTGGGGAATGGGCTTGGGTAGTGACGTCATAGTTAAGGAATAGGCTCACTCCGAAGGCGATGGGCTTCCACTGGTTTGTGAAGGACGGGGCTCAGACATAGCAGCTTGTGATGTCATAGGTAAGTGCGTCACAGCAGTTCCTACGGCGTAGAGTTAAGTCGCTTATATATCATGCACGCATTTGAAACGCCGTAGGTAAGGTAAAATGGGTAGTCATTTACCAATGGGGAACACGGGCCAGGTGTTACGACTTATGAGAGGTACGATTTCGTGTTCGGATTTCAAAGGGAATATTTCCCATTTAAAGATATTGAAGCAAGCATCAGATATGATGAAACAAGCTCACTTATAATCATTGGTATACTTTAAACAGAAAAGACTGCTCTAGACAGCAGAATTTCCGTGTTTAGTCAATATACTCTTCCGCGTCATTATTTGATTACGTCATCGTACATTGCACAACACTGATTGGAAGCCAATTGACAGCCGTTATATCCGGTGATCTTGGTCACGAACGCTAGGTACGAATGACTCAACCATAACATTTTATTCGCCCTTATCGCCGCATGGTTTATGGAATGGCAGGATTTCGATGACAGTATTATGACGTCATGAATGTTAAGAGGCGCTTGAAATACTCTCCATCTTCGCGGGCGCGTACCTCAGAAACTAGAAGGGTTTGGGTTTTAGGGAAGGCAGGGCTGTGAACTGCATCGAATGATCTTCAAGATGGTTATTTCAGTTTAAAACTACAAAGGCATGTGGGACACTCCCTTTTACCACGCGCGCCACGCAATCCTCACAATCTCATGGAATTGTTGGGATTCGAACCAAGGTCTTCTCATTACGAGTTCAGCGTTCTACCACAGAGATCATCGGGAATGACGCTCACAGACGCCACTCGAGGAAGATATTTGAACACTTGAATATCAGTCTGCAATACTAATACCACGAATCAATCATCCCACCATCACCTAAAATTGGAATCCCGTCACAAAAGAAATGGTGTGACATCCGGGGTGAGGCTGTCAGTCTGGGGAAACCAGCGCGCTTTTATAGCGTGCGGCTCTCCATCCACAACACATACGACCCCACAGAAAATGTCAGATCGTTTGGTCTGACGTTTGCCCTCTTCAAAGGTAGCAAGCGTCGTTTGGTGATTCACTTCAACCGTTTTATCGCTATGTGACAAAATTCAATGCACTTAGCACCGACCACTTAGGAAGAAAAGCATCGAAACATCGGCCCGTTAGAACAAAGTACCGATCCATTAGGACAATTTAATATTGCAATATGGCTAATCGTAATCGTGAAATGGAGAGTAGTACCTTAAGGGCTACTCAGAACAGAATAAAATGATTAAAGAAAATATAATAGAAGTGCCGATAGCACCCAATTTCGCGAAGAAAAGTTTAACCCCCATTCAGTGTACCACGTGACATCACAACGCTTGGTTGTTGTCTATTGGTGTTTCTGGTCTCAGCAATTGTGACGTCACACCGCAAGGGATTACGTTCACACGCGAGGGCGGTCGCCGCCTGCGCCATCTGCCTCCCTCGCCAGCCCGCCGCCGCCCGATCCCAGACTTACCTGCTGTTGTCCTTAGTACTGGGAAGAAATCGCGAGCAGTCGCGCCGCGAGAAAGTGGACTCAATCCAGGACGTGACTGTCCCAGCTTCCCTCTTCCTCTTTTTGAAAGCCGATGACTTGAACATGGCGACGCACTGTTACCCACACAGACCGCGCAGAGCTGGAACGATAAATAAATTGTGAGCCTGGATAAGCATCATCTTGTGCAACCATCGCCGAACGAGGGAAATCAGAGGCCCCAGAAGTTGTTTTTTCCGGAATACCTTCGAGCCACTGGACATTTGATGGTAGACTTTCAGCACCTCAGTTTTCTACATTGTGCAATTCTACGAAAGCATCACGGTCCCACCTTCAAAGATCACCTGAAATTACCTCTTTGTTCAATTACAAGTTCAATCATGTCGATCAGGTCATGCCGACCGTATTATGCGTGTATGCGTACGACGGCGTACGCTCGTTACAGAATACGTATTTTTAAGCACTTCCCTGCACTGGTTCTCTCGTTATGCAATATGATGCGATTCCACAAAATGCACTAAGGTCAGGTCATGTAAGGTGACATTACGCCAAACATGGCGTATGGAAATTTTCTCAGTAGGAAATCTTTGCCGTTTAGGCTGTAGTTTGGCACAACTAAGGCTGCATAACCGGACATTCAGCGCAGCCTGACAAGCTTCATTCCCCGTCATTTTTCGTTGTCGTACCATGCTCAGTTCTTGGAATAACTGGGTTTGGCCAATACAGCAAAATTTCACCCTTCAGGCCTGGTTTGAAATGCTACAAGTAACGCCTATTGATGACCTAGTATCGAAGCATGATTCAGTGCGCTATGACGCGCGCAGTGCCGCTTTCTCCGTCATATTCATAGCACCTGTCGTTACCCTTAGCCGACCCATCAAAAGCAACTTGCAATGCTGTTCAACAATGCTAACCCGGAGCAGTTTCGCGATGGTTTTACAATGTTGTTCTGCACTGTAGCATGCAAAAGAAAATACCAGCCAGCTTTAGGCTTCTCACATGACAGCCTTGGAGGTCATCAGAGATGTTCAGGAGCATAGGCATTGCAAAAACATTAATTGAGAGACAAATTGCCCAACCAAAACATGCCTCAAGATCCTGTCTTAACAAAAGTTTTAACACACTCAGCAACTCTATGGTTAAGTTAACCAACTCACTGGGGGATGAGAATGCTCTTGGACTCTATCCAAGACTTGTGTACTGCATTGTCCTCTGGAGAAATACAATCCCAGAATAGCTGACCACATCATGCCCAAGCTCATCAGCTTGATATTGCATGAGACATTGAGGATAAATCTTGCCATGAAACAAGCTGTCACTGGAGGGAGATGGGGAAGGGAAGTCAGGTAGTTGACAGGTGAAACTGCAACAACTCCAAAACAGTATTAGCCAGGCCGTTGCATACACCATCACCTGGAACCAGATAAACATAGCCAAGATCTCCATCCCAAAGTGCCCAAATGCACTATCTATAAGACAATATTTTACCCATGCCCAAGATTGACCACAGGGGCAAAAAATAAGCCCTGCTTGAAAAATGCTGCATCTGGTTATTACCCACTGCAAGAGGATTATAATACATGTTACTATAGTATTTAGGTGCACATCACTGAGCTGATAGAGCATCAGACACTAAATAATCTACTATAGACATGTATGATCACATCCCAAATTACACCTGTGGCTTGTCCTTGACAAGTGCCACCTGGCCATGTCACCAACCTGAAATGTGGATGACCATACCAGTGTTGTAAGGCACGTAACAATGTTTCATAAAAATTGCCAATTGAGCTACTTTTTGTCATTGAGCTGGTCCTTTCTCAAATGCTGAGTTTAATTTACTTTAAAAGATGAAACTTTAAGTTGACCATACACCACCAATTAGAATGTTATCTGGGGGCTGGGAAATTAACCCAATTTGTAGTAAGCCATCTTCTTTTGCATTCAAGAACTATCACTAACTAAAATATCCAGCAAGAACCCATTACAAATGCTGACAAACTTTCCAACTACTCACATTTGCACATAAATATGGCTGAGGTCTAACAGCAATGTGAGACAAGGTATCAAAGAACATAATAGCAGATGCAGAAAAAGTGTCATCGGCAACATTTTTAAGTGATGTACTTTATACTCTTACACACATGTTCTGCTTCAGAGACTCTGAGTTTTTCTGGGTGTGGTATGGATGCAACATGATGTTGTTGTGTAATCTATGGGTAATATGACAATCATAGGGCAGCTTCACAACATGGACAAATTTCAGGGCATTTCCGTGAAATGACAGTTCAATGGTGATAATTACTTTTTCACCATTATCTGGTGGGCAATATGACCAAGATGCACAGCACCATTCTCACCCAAGTCCAGGGATCGGCGGAAAACAGCCAGAGCGTAAACAGTTCACTAAGGTCTCGTTTCGACGTACACCTTTAAGAAGCGAAATTCTGTCCAGGAGCAGCAACCTCCCTCCCCCGAACAGTCTCGACGAATGACGAGCGTCTCTACACGCAACATTTACCGGCTTTGACTCGGCTTTGCGCCGTCGCAGCTTGTCTGAAGTTTGTCGGAATTGCGCCAGCAAACGCCTGCGAATGTCTCTAGTCAACCGCTGACTTAGTGCACCTTACACTTCAGGATGTAACATAATTCAATATCAGTAAAATGCCGCAATAAGTTCACAACAAATATCCGAAACAGCTAAATGTCATCCTTACGTTTGTCGAAAACCATTTCCTGCTAGATTTGATAAGCCTCTAAAATTAGCCGACGGACGTGAAATCAACACCGACGATTCCGGCACAGAGGAGACGATATCAGTCGGCCTTGGGTATCAGTAGCCTTTACTCTAGTAGCCTTGGTTGAAACCTCGGTCGAGAACATTGTTCCGAGGCAGTTGGTTGAAACCATCCAAAAAAAGCATGTATGCTGGGGCGCTGCGGTTCCAGACGTACTTGATGGGAATACGAGTGTGGAGAGAAAAAACTCAATTCCTCTTTTCTCGCATGTGTGCATCTCTAATTCCACTGGCTCCTCAATGAATGCTGATGTCACATGCAATGTGATGCATACCTAGTCTACGTATTTTAAGGGCTTAGGGAGGACGATGTATCCCGTTGCAGGCATCATGTGAACTTCCAGGCTACCACTGTTATGCAGTCGCATGGTCACCATTTCACAAAGAACTTCTGGCTGTGGTTTCTGGAACAAACTATGGCCTATCAGGTAATTATGCTGAGTAGTTTGCTCCCCAAACACTCGTAACCCTATCATCACTACCATATTCAGGGACTTGGGTGGTGGGGATGTCAATATGTTTTCATGTCATGATTCCCAGAGCTGGGGGCTCATGATCAAGATCAGAGCAGTGACCACCAAAATGTGTATGGAAGCCGCCCCGGGCTTGGTGTCAGGTGGCACAAATTTATATTTACATCTTGCACATTCCACTGGACAAATTTGTAAATGCAGCCCTCAATTCTTTCTAGTTAGCAGTGTTGTGTCTGTGGCTAGAGATTCTAGGGAGGTGAGAGACTTTGTTGTTTGGGAGTAGCCCTGATTTGATCTATTTCTTTCAAGAGTAGATCACATCTGGATATGGAGCATCATCTCTTTGGCATACTTTTTAAGTTTTGGTTACCTGTTTAGGCTTGTGATTTAGTTTTGATGTTTCATTGGCTGATTTTATGCCTCAGAAACCCTGCACATGTTTTAAATAAAAGAAAACTGGCCTTTGGCCCCAGGAGGGCCTCCACTGTCTCCAGATAGAATAAGATAGAATAAGAAAGAGGGTGTGGCCCCAGAATCCCCTTGGCTATGTCACCCAGGAGAAGAGGGGCAGTCGTCTGGCCCACATGATTACAAGAAGCAGAGTTGTGGTATCTGAGTTTTGATGAAACCATAAAATTGATGACCTCCATACTACATTAAATCAACTTTCTGCTGGGGCATGTCTGTCCATAAAAGTAAAACACTTGCTGATTCCATGTAGTCATTGCCTTCATAAAACGCAGTCCTATCATTTGCGTGCTTCTTGTTGATTTAGTCTTTTGCAAAGGCATGCTATTTGTGTGAGTTGATTTTTGCACAAGGTTATGTAAGTCAGATTGGTTACTGAATCATTCAGCATTATATTTAAGTGGCACTAAATAAAAGATGTAACTTTCATATCCTTTTTAACTTAACTTTCACAAACTCCTTCATATCCCTTACATCTGTCAGCCAATGTATATATTATGATTTATATTATGTAATATATGAAATATAGTATGTTATAGATGACCAATATTATGAAATATATCAGAAACTTCAAAGAGATGTATAAGTCATGTTTAAAATATTTGATATGCAAACATTTGCAGGCATGATGTTAATTTCCTGATGTAATGCGCACATTATTTGGATGTGGCTGGCTGACCTACCTGGAACAAATTAGAATGCAGGCATCTGAATTCAAGTAAGAATAGAATTCAATCACTATCAGACTCTGTTATTCAGTGTCAAGCCAAATTTCATGTCAGTGCAAAGCATATTTTTGTGTGCTTGATGATAATCTAATTGTGAGTGTTCATAATTTATCCCCATAATTATTGGATAAAAATATATGTGAACCAAATGAAAGTGAATCAAGAACAGTCTGCTAGCAATACTGTCATGCATGTGTATAATGGCAGTTTGTTGGTCTTTAGATCAAGTGATCACTCGCCTGACAGGTTTTGTGTTTTTTCCACTTTGAGTGTATTGATGTTAGCACAGCCAGCACTGGCCTGTTCCCCAGGCGCCGGCCGTCTGGACGTGCTCCGCCTCTCGGCCGGCGGCGCCCACCTGGCGCCCAGCTGGAGCGCCCCCTGGCAGGATGTCATTACGGACGTGACGTGGTCTGAGACGAGTCCGTCGGCGCTGGTGGTGGGCACCGGCGACCGGGCCGTGGCCGTCTTCGACACCGCCCAAAACAGGGGTAAGGCTGGTGGGGGTGATGGGAGGGGGGGGGGGCGACCGAAGCCAGGCAGGCCAGGCGGCGGCCAACGGAGGAGCCGCCGAGTGCCCGGCTCGGGGCACCAGACCCCTAATGTGTTGCTCGAAGTGGCTATGTGTAACCGCCGTTGGGCTGTCACCAATATATTGGGGAGATTTTCCGTGGCATGCTCATTGGCTGAGGAAGTGCATTTTGTAGACAAGCGTGTCACTGGTCGGCATAATAATAACCGCCCCTGGAATGCGGATTGAAGGCAGTACGTGATTGCATTTGCCTGTGCCTCAAATTCAGACCCTTATTAAACAAGCCTGTGACGTCTGAGCTCGAGCGGCGGGGTGACCCTGGCCCGGCCTAACGTAGGACGCTTCAGCCAAGCCCAGTCTGACGTGGGATGCCGCACCCTGGCCTGGTCTGGGGCAGGATGTTTTACCCAGGCCCGGTCTGACTCAGGATGTTTCGCCCAGACCCGGTCTGACTCAGGATGTTTCACCCAGGCCCGGTCTGACTCAGGATGTTTCACCCAGGCCCGGTCTGACTCAGGATGTTTCGCCCAGACCCGGTCTGACTCAGGATGTTTCACCCAGGCCCGGTCTGACTCAGGATGTTTCACCCAGGCCCGGTCTGACTCAGGATGTTTCGCCCAGACCCGGTCTGACTCAGGATGTTTCGCCCAGACCCGGTCTGACTCAGGATGTTTCACCCAGACCCGGTCGGATGCAGAATGCTTCACCCTGGCTCAGTCTGACTCAGGATGTTTCACCCAGGCCCGGTCTGGGGCAGGATGTTTCACCCAGACCCGGTCGGATGCAGAATGCTTCACCCAGACCCGTTCGGATGCAGAATGCTTCGCCCTGGCTCATTCTGATTCAGGATGTTTCACCCAGACACGGTCCGAGGCAGGATGTTTCACCCAGACCCGGTCGGATGCAGAATGATTCACCCTGGCTCAGTCTGACTCAGGATGTTTCACCCCGACCCGGTCTGACGCAGGATGTTTCACCCCGAGCCGGTCTGACGCAGGATGTTTCACCCCGACCCGGTGTGACGCAGGATGTCTCACTGGTGCGGCGGGAGCATGCTCAGGAGGTCAGCTGCGTTACCTGGAGCCCGGTCAGAAGTCACCAGGCTGTGCTGTCTGCCAGCTGGGACGGCACAGCCAAACAGGTCCGTGCGGTGACGGACGCCTATCCAACCCGCTTGATATTGTGCATCGCCCGCTCGTCCGTGCTGTGCTTGTGTGTGTGTGGCCTGTGTGTTAGTGTGCGAGGATGTGCTTGCGTGCTTGCAGTCTGTGCTTGTATTATCAGTATTCGGTGTGAATATGCATTTCGTCGTATTTGCAGCTGTTGTTTTAAAAAAGGACCTCATTGGTTACTGGCAGTAACGGACGCTGCAGCATTACAACAGTATCACTTTGATAATTTCGTTGTCTATACTTTCGAGCTGACTGCTGCTGGCACCCAGTAACAGTGCTGAAGAAACTGATCTGTTCAGTCGATAGCCTCCAGGCGTGTTTTCAACTTAGTGGAAGGTCGGGCTCGACTTTGGTCGGTGAAGCACGTCTCCACAACCGCCTGTCGTCGGCTGGCCTTGCGCTTACAGCGCTGTCCGCTCGCGGACCCTGTCTCGTGTCCGGCTCTTCAGCGGTGTTCTGGTCCGCCGCAGTGGGATGCCGGCAGTCTGCTCTGCGTGCAGACGTACCCCGTCTGCGCCGGCCGCGTGTACGACGCCGCGTGGTCGGCGGCCGAGGCCGGGCAGTTTGCCACCGCCGCTGGTATGTTGCGTTATCGTGGTCGGCGGCCGAGGCCGGGCAGTTTGCCACCGCCGCTGGTATGTCGCGTTATCGCCCTGTGACACGGATGCCGGTGAAGGGTGCACGGATGCCGTGGTCCAGTAATGAGGGTGTGATGCCACGCGGAGGGCCTGAGCTTGCACTCTGGGGTCCCGCGCCCGAGCTCGCACCCCGGGGTCCCACGCCCGAGCTCGCACCCCGGGGTCCCACGCCCGAGCTGACACTCCGGGATCCCATGCCCGAGCTCGCACCCCGGGGTCTCATGCCCGAGCTCGCACTTCGGGATCCCATGCCCGAGCTCGCACCCCGGGGTCCCATGCCCAAGCTCGCACTCCGGGATCCCATGCCCGAGCTCGCACCCCGGGGTCCCACACCCGAGCTGGCACCAAAGGTGTCGCCGCCTAAGCTTATACCTCGGGTTCGCCGCCTGGCCGCTAGATGGCTGTGCCGTGGCCGACAGCCGACGGCGCGCTGCACGTGTGGAGCGCTGCGGCGGGCCGGCGGCCGGTGCTCTCCGTCCGCGCCTCGCCGGCCGAGCTGCTTAGCTGTGACTGGAGCCGCTACAGCGCCCGCCAGCTGGCCACCGCCGGCGTGGACGGCTGCACGCGCCTCTGGGACCTCCGGGACGCGCGGAGTCCGCTCGTGCAGCTGGCGGTACGTACAGACGGGGGGGGGGGGGGGGGGGGGGGGGAGAACGGGCTCTGGTCATGACGGGGTTTCAGTCGGGGTGAATTCGGACGCCGGAACGGCTTTAGATTTAACTAGAGCTAAAAAGTGATTTGATGTTCTAGGCGGTAGTTCAGTGAGGTTCAGTTCTGACTGTGGCTAATATGGGAGTTCGGATATTTAAGACTAATCGTGGAACTATGACACAATAGCAGTAATAGCTGCGAACCACGACTCATTTTGATGGCTTGTATGCACAGTTAATGGAGCTCTTATGTTTTTTGTTTTTTTAGCTACGTGTAGGACCAAAACAAGAATGTGTGACCCACTTAGTTTGATAAAATAGGGCCTTTGTAATAAGTATCAGCCTTAGGTTTAATTCTGTTGAGTTGAAACCTATCGTAATGATGCTCGACACCGTTTCACTGTGTCAAGGACAAGTCTCTTAGATTTGTGTATGTTCTTGAGAGTGACCTTATAATTCTTTAAAGGGGCTGCAAAAATCATTTGGTGGTTAAGCACATGGCAAGTCGCGGTCTGCGGTTGGTTCATGCTGTGCTCTTTTTTGTCGAGCGTGCGCTATTTACGCTACCACATTTCTGAAAACCTTCTACTTAACTTTGGTGTCCGACGGGAAGTTAGCAGCACATAGTAGCACCAGCATTGTGCCAGCACCTTAGGTCAAACGTTATTGTATCGGCAGCTGAAAAAGTACAAAAGACCCAATATTTCCTTTGTTCTAAATCCTGGGGCTGAAGTTCATATTTTGTGGAACCACACTTGTTGCCCCGTTCCAAAATAATAAACTTTGAGCCTTTTACGCACACCCCAATCCCGTTAATTTTGATTGATACCGGTAGGACAATAAGTGACGTCTGGGAATGTCAGCTGTAGCCTTCTCAGCAATAGCTCAGACATAAATCATATATTCGTTGCCAATGTTGCATGAATTTATTGCTTGACAACTCTCTTTTTGTGGCCAAATGCTAGTTGAAATGAACGTCGCGCACACTGTCTTGCAGCGCTGCCAAGTATTATTCAATTGTCCTCACCAGTTTTTCTATCTCTGGATCAGCAGCGATAACCGCACTCTGACAAGAACGTGGGAACGACTGTCCAATGTTCTCGTGACTAAAGGCGCTCAAAACATTACCTAAACTGCTATCGCGAACAGATTCCACACCACAGTCTGGATGCGAGTCGCAAGTCAACACCTCCATCCATTCGTCCCCCGTGTTGGCATCTGTTGTCACGCGCGTTGGCACCTCGTTGTTGCTTGGCACGTATAACTCCGTTCCTCTTGCAGGGCCACCGCTACGCTATCAAGAAGGTTCGGTTTTCGTCGTTCGACAGCACCGTGCTGGCGACAGCCTCGTATGACAAGACATGCAGGTGGGCCGGCTGTGGGCTGAGTGTAATATCACGACGACAGATGCCGATTAAAGGTGCCAGTCTATCTCTCACCCTGTGGTAACGCTTTCGACGTGAGTGGGGGAGGGGGGGGGGGGGGAAGGAGGCGCTGAGATTCTGTATCGGTGGCGGTTGGAACGGAGCTGATGCTGACCGTCGTGCCTGACTCCAGACTGTGGAGTTGCACGGAGGCACGCTGCTTGGGAACGCTGGAGAGCCCACACCGAGTTTGTCTACGGGCTGGACTGGTCCGTGCTGGAGCGACAGCAGCTGGCCACCTGCGGCTGGGACAGGAAGATTCAGGTCCACACACTGCCGGCTTAGACCGGCCGCTGGAACAGGACGGTCCGGGTCCCACACTGCCGGCCTAGACCTGCCGCTGGAACAGGACGGTCCAGGTCCATACACTGCCGGCCTAGACCTGCCGCTGGAACAGGACGGTCCACGTCCACACACTGGGGGACTGACATAGTCCGTAGGGGCGGATCTGCCGCTCGAATGGTGTCAGCATCGCTGTGCGTTGTGCGGGTCGCCAGCTCGTAAGCGCAAGGCGCATCAGACGGGCCCCGTTCGATTTACGTTAGTGACGAGACGGTTGGAAGTTCCTCTTTTTATCGTTTATGGTCATGTCACAATAAATGAGTGATTGCTATCATGCAAGTTCTGATGATGAAAATTCGTGTCATATTGGGTATAAATTCTTTGTCTTTGAGCATGGTTTAGGCATCCCGCAATCGCCAAGTCTTCGACTGGCCCAGTACCTCGCACAGTGAACAGCGGTGTGGTGCGGGTTTAGACGGATACTTCTACTGCATGAACCATGTGACGTCAGTGCAGAATATTGTTTATCGATACCATACCTTGCGCGGGCTAGTTCACACCCGGTGCTGCTCGCCGAAGGCGGTTCTGGCGCCGGCCTCCAGGTCGCGGCGTGGCACCGCGAGAGCGAACCGTCGCGTGCCCCCCTCGGCGGTAGCGACGCTGCCGGCCCCCGGGCCTCGGGTCACGGCGCGGCACCGCGATAGCGAGCCGTGGCGTGCCCCCCTCGGCGGGAGCGACGCTGCCGGCCCCCGGGCCTCGGGTCACGGCGCGGCACCGCGAGAGCGAGCCGTGGCGTGCCCCCCTCGGCGGGAGCGACGCTACCGGCCCCCGAGTCACGGCGCGGCACCGCGAGAGCGAGCCGTGGCGTGCCCCCCTCGGCGGGAGCGACGCTGCCGGCCCCCGAGTCACGGCGCGGCACCGCGAGAGCGAGCCGTGGCGTGCCCCCCTCGGCGGGAGCGACGCTGCCGGCCCCCGGGCCTCGGGTCACGGCGCGGCACCGCGAGAGCGAGCCGTGGCTCGCGCCCACCGGTAGGAGCGACGCTGCCGGCCCCCGCGCCCCGAGTCACGGCGCGGCACCGCGAGAGCGAGCCGTCGCGTGCCCTCTCGGCGGGAGCGACGCTGCCGGCCTCGGGTCACGGCGCGGCGCCGCGGGAGCGAGCCGTGGCGTGCTCGCATCGGTGGGAACGGCGCTGCGGGCCGAATGGCGGCACGCACCTGCTGCCGGCGTGTCCTTACCTTGAGGACAGAGCCGGGCTCCTTGGAGGCCGAGGCGCGAACAATTCTCGAGAGGTGGCGGTGGCGACGCGGCCGCGTCTGGTTCGGAACGTATGCCTTGCGCGGCGCCGGACGCCAGAACTGAGGAGGCTATACGCTCTATTCTAACACAAGATAAGATGTCGTGGCATACGTTTTGAATGTCCTGTGTCCTGCACCGTACGACCAATGATTTATGGGCGTTACAGCCGAGTTAGTGTGCAATCCAGGGGATCTGTCCGGAGGAGACGCGCCGAACATTGCTGTGCGCTGAGGTTTTATTGCGTTCGTCCCGATGGTGATCGGCTGGCTCGGGTGCGTGACGATAGGTGTAGCACGCTCGATGCATGTCGTATGTACGTGCGGGTTTGTGATTGGGCTGACACCCATGTGAAACATCGCGGGACAGAGAAAGTGGTCCAAGTGATTCCCACTGTAATACCCCGTGGATCACATATTTGTTCACGTTTGGCGGCTCGAGATGCTTGACAGACGACCGTAACGTAATAGGCATCTTGGAAAGAGCTTAAAGGTATGCAACGTTAAATTTGATCACCCGGCGTGACTAAAGAGCTTGTATTTGTCTTTCACTGGGGGTCGTGCTTATCCATTGTTGGTTGTTACACGTGTTCTGGGAACAATATAGCTGTTTGATTTTCAGCTTCTGTAGTAGCCCCGGTTTCTTTTGTCAGGGACACCTGGTTGTGCCCGTCCTCGGCCCCGTCAGCCAGGTGCCTGTGGTGTCTGTCCAAGCCCACTGTGCACGCACTCGGCGCGCGGGGGCCTGGTTCACGCCAGCGCCCGGCTGCCCGGGGCGAGGGCTCCCGCTGAACCGTCACCAGCTCCGCGCGGCGCCGGCCGTCGCTCCCGGGGCGAGGGCTCAGGCTGAACCGTCACCAGCTCCACGCGGCGCCGGCCGTCGCTCCCGGGGCGAGGGCTCCGGCTGAACCGCCACCAGCTCCGCGCAGCGCCGGCCGTCGCTCCCGGGGCGAGGGCTCCGGCTGATCCGTCACCAGCTCCGCGCAGCGCCGGCCGTCGCTCGGCCCTCCTACACGTCTCTAGCTGGCACGTAGCTGGTGTATCGGCGACACGGACACGGTAACACGTGGCGGCTCCGAGGCTGCGCGCCCTTGCGGGCCACAGGGAGGCCGCAGGGGCGCGACGCTCTCCCTCACACTCACACCACCACCAAAAAACAAACGGCGGACGGGCGTGGCAGCCTGTCTTTGGGGCCGCAGGGGCGGCGCGACCGCAGGGGCGCGCCCCGACCG